GAGATGTTTGATGATATTCAGAAGAGTTGTGAGCTCTGGATAGTCGATATTGAGCCTCTTATAGGAATCTACAAATGCTTCGAGCCAGGCGATGTCTACCAGACCGGCTCAGTATGCTCAATTTCTGAAGTCTCTCAATCCGCAAATGATGACCCTGATGCCACGATGACGGGATGTTTCCCCCTTGAGGTTGCGCGTTGAAGCCCTTATCCGGACCGACCTCTCCTCGCCAGAGGCACCTCTCGATGCAAAAGCTCCGGTTTCTTCTCTCATCAAAACGTGGTGTTCATGCCGATATCCGTTTTCAGGGTTGGGCTCGGTCGAAAGAAGCCTTGAAGATCATCTCGGAGGAGTCGTTGATCCCGTCAATAGCTTGTCCCCAGGATTGACGTCGGATGCCAAGGTTGATCAGCGCTCAGTCCTGTGGTAGACTGGTCGATTTCTCTTCCCGGCGTGGATGATGTTCCTGCCAAGATGCTAAGGGATATACGGATGCTGGAAACGTCAGATACCAAGCTTTCTTGGCGATGGGATCGCAGCACGACATGAAATGGATGTCTGGCCACTAGCCAATAGCTTTTCACTCGTGGTAAGTGCGGCCAGGCACGTTGATACAAAAATACTACTTGTGTTCTTGAACAGAAGATCTTCATGGTGTGTTTAAGCTCATGGATACTATCCTAGTTCGCGCCACGAGATGAAGTAAGTGGAGTGCCAGGAGACCCTGAACTAAGCGTCAGCAAAGAGAAATGCTGGACCTTCCACTAAGAATGAACTTGGTCTATTAGCTAGGTGAAGTCGTATCGTCTGTATAGAATCACCAGACGGAGCAAGAACCAGTTCATACCGCATGTGTCCCGGATGAACAGGCAATCAGCCATTAACGCCACGCCATCGGCGCCGTGATTGAGCCTCGGTGACCCCTTTCCTGGCTTTGCGACTTACTCGCAAAACGCATAGAATGGCGTCATTCCCGAGTCTAACAGTGTGCATCTTCAAGGAAGAATCTCTCCATCTACAAAAACCGGACGGAGACGATCCCTACAGGACCGGAAGGAGATTCGAAAATGTCTCACATAGGGACCAAATAGTTGGAGGCAAGATCAACGAACCCCGCAAGCGCAGCTTTATCCGGCTCCGACGAGAATAAGCAATGCCTTGTAGGTAGTAGTCCAAAAGACACTGTCTCACGCAGGATGTTGATGTTTCCGGTCCACAAGTAACGGCCGCCTCAAGAATCCTCTATTCGGCGGGGTTCTTGTTCATCATGTCGCAATTTGTGCCACAGTCCGAAGGATCGATCGGCCCGCTTCTGCCAGGCGTTATGCTTAATTCTCTCATTGCCCAGTTCAAGGCCAGTCCTACGCATGACTAAGTCGTGGGGGAGGAAACTTCGCTTGCGGCAGGAGAATAGTATCAAATCCTTTAAGCCTCATTTGGAGCCCTATGTCTAGATAATTTCCCCGAGATATAGATTCGTTTCCGTTTTCGACACATTCCCCTGATTACGTGCATGAAGCCTATGCGTGGCAAGATAAGCTTAAGGATGACGGTTGAATGGCCCTCGGCTCCTCGGATTCACATATGGAGGGGTGAGAGAGGCAGAAAGACTCGGTTCGACCTGGCGAGTTGGCTAGTTTAGAAGCGTATATGATGATCAAGACGAATCGACGTGCCTAAGATCGGCGTATAGAGGTACCTTAAGCTACCGAGACTGCAAGCACAACGTAGAGTTTGGGAAATCATTAGTGGGGAGGCTGGTGCCCTGGATCTCTGTGGCGAGCTCGATCGCGGAAAGAGTTTTCAAATGCCTTCAAAGGCACGTCAGAGCATCCTGAATCCTGGGTGATGAGGTAGCAGCTGTGACATGGGCCCGGAGAAGTGCTCCGGACCGCGAGGAGCATGCCAGACAGGCTCCAGCGAGTGCGCTGATTTTTGGGAAAGGCTGCTCTTCCGGGATCTTTTGCCTCTTTTCAAGTAAGTTTATGTCTCTCACATAGCATCTAGAGTGCCCCCAGACTTCAGATGGCCTCTCATCATCACACGAGCCATGTTGGGAATATGAGTTGAAGGGAACGTCTCTAAGCGACTGCATGTCTTCTCCTTTAAATGACTACCCATAACAAAGTGTCGTCTGTCAGCGCTCCATAAGGGATACTGGTAATCTGCGTCCGTATAAGTGAACACCGAGGTTATGTGAACTGACCTCGATAGAACTCGAAGGGCTCGCAAGCTCAGAGAAGTCTACCGAGTAGTAGTTGAGGGTATGTTAAGCGAGAGTAAGGAGACGCGTAGCCCAAGTCATGTTGATCGTCAAGCTCTCTATTCGCGCGGAGATTCTACACAATACTCATTGCTTGGGGGCATCTCAGGCTGAAAAGAAATCAAATTACCAGGCCATCGCCACTGAACTAAGTCATAGTGAGAACGCAATAAGCTTTCTAGATCAACATGACAAGGGAACACGTGTGGGTCCGTTGAACCGGTACACTGCCACGCCTCCCTTAACTAGGTGCTCACCCAGCAGGCGTCAGTCACGGAGGGATTCACTTCAAAGCACCAAGAAACGTAATGATGGTTTTCAAGGTGTAATAATCAATTTGACAGAAATATCACCAGCAGACGTGGTATTCGGGCCGCAATCGAGCCTCCAGGAAAGCAACTCAGGCTTGCAACTGCCATATGTATGGTTAATATGAATACGTCAGGCGAGATCGATAGGGTGCTTTAAGTTGAGGCCCGTGAACTAAATACGTCTCCAACGCGAAACATGGCATGCCATACGTTATGGTAAGAAAAAATAGACGTGAAGGGCAGCTACTGACACTCAACCAAGTCTTTAAAGGCTTCGTAATAACGATACCGAAAGATGCTGTGTGAAAGAATTTAAGAAGCCGTTGAGAGGAGGGATGGCGAAGCGAGCGACAACGTCAGTCAGCCGCCAGGTTGGATTAACCTTACTTTCCAATCGATCGATCCCTCGCATCTAACTCGCTACTGCTTAGAATAAACTGACCACTCACAATCCTTCATCCCCTTATTTTATCACTTCAGCGGACCCTGCCGCACCCACCTCAGCCACAACCCCATCAATCTGAACTTGCCAAGAGCTAGTTGTGGCGCTTTCCACCAATCACTACTCACACCCATCGCGCTTGACGATTCCTTGTGGAAACCCCATGCTTCCCCCAGCCACACTCGCAACCTCACCCTGCTCAGCCACGCCTACGTCACCGCCCTCCTAACGAGCTCTTGGCATACAACACCACACAGCACAAGCGACCCTTCCAGCCAAGTTTACAAGGCGATACCGTTGTGTCACTGGTGCAATTCAAGAAAAGGTTGGGGAAGAAAAGCAAGCCAAGGGGGGAGGAGACGAAGGCTAGGTTAGTGGTCTGCTGCCCCTTCGTCACTGGTTCGCACGAGGAGGGAACCGACGTCTAAGTAGGTATTTAATACAAGCCCCTTCCTGCTTGGCCGTTCCTCCATAGTTCGTGTATAATCAACAACCCAAAACATAAGCTTTCCACTGCGAACATAGTCGACAAGAAGCACAAGGTATATATATCTACACTCCTCCACTAGCAAACGAGCGTTCTGCGCACTCTCGGACCTTGAACTAATGAATCCTCCAGCAATCTCACATCTACACAAATTCCTACAAACCACCATACACTCATCATGCCTTTCTTCTACTCCAAGCCCATCGGCGGCCGCAACTTCGGCACCTCCGTCCACGCAGACCGGCACGGCGTCCACCGTGGTCCCTGGCGCATGCGCATCGGCCGCTTCAACTGCTTCCGATAGAGTCGACGCCACTCTCACGGCGTAAAGGTGTCGGTGCGATGAGCCTTCGAACAGCAATGCGGAGCATTTCGTCCTAGCTCTAGTCCACTCTCCGCCTCTTTCAGGATACGACCTGAGTCTGTCATCTGAATGAGACGACCAAACCGACAAAGCCTACGCTCAACGCCTCTTTCCTCTTCTTGTTCCTCTTTTCTACTACCACGAGATCATGGATACCAGGAGTCTGTATTTGCGTTTTTAACGGTTTCGACGATGGGAAAGCGAGCGTTTCCTGTCCTTCTGTCCTTATTGAGTTTATCTTGCGCTGCGATCACAAATGGAGATGGATCGTTGTGCGCATGGGTGGAATGATACAATGCATACCTAGATAATACAATACTTCTCCACAACCTATTCTCAACTGGTGACCTGTGTGATATGCGCCGGTTCTAGTCGTCAAACCTTACCTTCCTTTCCCTTGGTGGCAGTTGGTCCAAAGCCTATTAATGCAGTCTGGTACTGTTCAGGGCAGGCGGACTCCAGTGCAAGACTTATAATCATCATCGTCCAGTGGCCATCCCGTCTCTATTTTATCATATCGCGAGCTTGGCTGTTGAAATGGGCAGCGGGAATAGTGGTTTGGCCAATGGGAAGACGTGCCACGGGTCAAACGATAGGACGAGTGGACGATACGTAGGGTAGGCCGGGAACTTCAATTTGGGCAAGGAACGATTCAGCCAAGTGAAGGTTGTGCTCACATAGTCAAGCAGACAGTAGTACTCAACCGGTACCAAGAGCCAGAAGACAGCAAAAGACCACATGGAATGTCACTGGTGCAGAGTACAATGCAGGGGCCAAAGGGGTTGGTGATATTCTCGAATTACCGAGCGTATGAAGGATCCTGTTTTCCATCCCACCCAACGCCTTATTCTTGTCAATCGACGGTAGTAGTAAGAAACACACGCCTGAGTGAACGTCAAGTCGTTGAATTTTTGCTGCGGTTGTTTTTTTGTATTTCCTAGCACAACGGTACGAGCCATGCCAAGCCGCCAGCCCTGAATCATCGCAGAAACCGTTTCCGATGCATTCCCGTTCCCTGGATATGAGAGCACAACGCAAGTAACCAGGCGATGAAAACCGAACCCCCTCGCCCCGAACAGCTGATTTTTCCTCCACGCAACCCACTATGAGAAAACTTTTTACATCTTCTTCGCTTAGACCTCGGTGGTGACCTTGGCCTTGGGGTTCGTGACCTTGACGCCGAGCTGCTTGGCGCGGCCGATGATGTCGATGCGCTTTCTCGAGGAGACGTTGTGGGCGATCCTATAGTTGGTTTGTTAGCTGGCTCTGTTTTCCCCATGGAAAGATACCCTTCGCTCGGCTTTTCGGTCGGAGCTGATAGGCGGATGTGGGGTGGTACGCACTCGGCAGCGTAGGTGCGGTTGTGCATCAGCAGAAGGTTGACGTCGTTGACGTTGCTGACGAGGAAGGCCTTGTGGCCGGAGGGCATCATGTACTTGGTCTTCTTGTTGGAGCCGAAGCCGATCTGGGAAGCAGGAATACCAGGTTAGCGACTGTAATCCTGGGTCCCTTGAACCATTGCCACCCGAAAAATTGTTCCTCCTATTATTGACATCCATTTCCAAGTCCAAATCCAAATCCAGCGGGGAGGTATTTCGACGTACCGAGGGCATGGCAGTGTTACCCCTGAAGCGACGGCGGACGCGGTTGTCGATACCCTTGGGCTTGCGCCATGATCGATCAACGCGCATAAAGCGGTCGCTCTGGTGGCGGTTGAAGAGCTTCGTGCCTGTTCAAAATCACACCCGTCAATCCTCTCGTTCCCAATCCAAAGTTCTCGTTCGGTTGTAATCATCGTCGGGGTTGTCGGGTACGCGGGGTCGTAGAGGGGTGCTGTGTCCTTGGGGAAGGAAAAGACATACGCTTCTTCACGATAGGAACGTGCTTCTTTGCGGCGACCATCTTTACGAAACCAAAAGTCAGTAACTAATTCACAATATTGACATAATGTCGATCGAGGGTACCGTAGCAATTGAATCTCACCTTGACGGCTGTTCCTGGCTATTGGGTTAGTCGGGGCGGGTGTACGTCGTCAAATTCGGGCTTCAAGGCGATCGTGAAATTTGGGCGACCACCATTTCGAATCGCACTGGACGTGGGCTCCTTCCGAAGCCCTAAGATTTTGTCGGTCACGTGTGGGCGGCTTAGCGGGGGAAGAAAAAAAAAAGTGTAGGAGCGGAGACCTGCTACTGGCTCAACAGGTCACGCTAGCGGAAAGGACTCTTTTCGGTCTGCAGGCCTACGCCACAGGACTCCAAAAAAAAAGTTGAGGAAAGCACGGACCCACCGCAGTGCAATTGCTGAAGCGGCACGTACTGCATAAACCTGCCGCTTCTCTGGAAACACCATTATTCAAGAGACAAAACAACTACCAAATATAGCAAAAAGAGTTTCCCACACCGAGGTTCGAACTCGGGACTCTCCGGATATCAATGGAAATATGAAAGCGGAGTATACTAACCACTATACTATATGGGACGTGGCTGTTGTTTGATGACAGGGGAGGACATCAAGTTGCAGATAGACCCTTCCAGGTGGACAAAGCCCATCAAATGGAACTAGAAGCGGGTTGTGCTTTCCAATGAGTCACCACTATTTGCTATCGCTGCATCAAGGTTGAGAAACGATATGGCAACCGTGTATCACGGATTGCCTTTCATTCATGAGTTGGATGATGCCCAAACTACCAAGCAAAACTCCTCTCCAGTTCCCCAGTCTATGCTCACCCCCTGCACCGTCCGGGTCGTCATGTCTGTCATGAGCTTTAGGGCGTCAAGCCCAAGACTCTGTCCTCTAAAATCTCTATCCACCTCAGCACCTCTTACTGAGGCTGGCACTGAGGCTGGCCATCGTCTTCATCTTCGTCTTCCCATTCGCCACCGAAACGCGGATCTCCCGAGTTGGCGCCCATCTGTAATATTTGCGTTAGCACTAGATAATGATGAAGAGAGAACTTGTGAAGACTTACCGAATCCAGGCTATCCACCTCTTCGTACTCAACCTCATCAACCTCCTCGGCTGTGATGGGAGCAGGAGGGGGAGGAAGAAGTTTGTTCAGAGCATCGTACTCCTTATCATCCTTCAACCAGCCATCCTCGGGGAACTCAACGTTGACAATCAAGTACAAGTCACCCTTTTCTTCGCCACGCTTCTGAGGCATACCCTCGCCAGCGACCTTGAGGATGTCACCAGGGCGGAGGATTTCGCCGCGCTGCCTCTCCATATGAATACCGCGGCCGTCAAGGTGCGTCAACACAACACGGGAAAAGCCACCGAGAGCCTCAGCGAGGGAGATAGTCAGCTCGGCAGAGAGATCGTTGCCGATGCGAGTGAATTCGTCGTGGGGCTCCTCGGCCAAGTGGAAAACAATGTCTCCGGGGGTCTGGTCTGGGAACTGGTCCGCCTCGCCCTCCAACACGATCCTCTCTCCATTCTGGGAACCTCTGGGAATGTAGATCTCGAGGACCTTGGTCTCGGAAGTGGTGCGCTTGCCCTTGCACTTTTTGCAGCGGTCCTTCTCCTTGCAGAAGTTTCCGGATCCCTCGCAACGATCGCAAATAACGGTCTCTTTACGGACCATGCCCGGGCCGACCTGGCGGAAGGCCTCTGCCATACCGGCGCCTCTGCACTTCTCGCACTGCTGGGGCTTGACGTTTGCCTTGGCGCCGGATCCCTTACAGGTGCCACAAACAACCTGCTTGTTTGCGGAGAACTTAACAGTCTTGCCCTTGTACAACTCCTCGAGCGTGACCTTGTAAGGCTGGTCCTCATCGGGACCGCGACGCGGCCTTCTGGGACCGGCACCAGGGCCACCGGGGCCGCCCATGCCCATACCGAACATTTGTGACAGAATGTCGTTCAAGTCGACCTCGACACCGCCGGGACCGCCGGGGCCGCCTCGCGAGGGGTCGAATGCGGCCATGCCATGGGTGTCGTAGAGGTGACGCTTGTCGTCATCTTTGAGGATTTCGTAGGCCTGGCTGACAGCCTTGAACTTGGCTTCCGACTCCTCTCTACGTTCTTCGGGGACTTTGTCGGGGTGGTGAAGAAGGGCAGCCTGTGCAAGACGGGATGTGTCAGTATGGGGTATTGCTGCTGGCGTGGGATTGCATTTGTCGTTGCGACCGAGGGAGGGGTCACGAACCTTTCGGTATGCCTTCTTGATCTGATCCTGCGAAGCATCCTTATCAATACCGAGGAGCTCTGTAAAATGCGTCAGATGTGATCCACTGCGAAAAAAGTACCCCTGGGCTCCATAGGCAGAGTCTTACCGTAGAGATCAATATCTTCCTCCCCCGCCATGCTCGGTCCACCACTGTCCATGATTGAAGCTTCTTCGAAGGGCACTCGGGCAAAGTCTTGCTCGAGATTCGGCCTTCAGAGGAGTGATTTGCAGTTGTGAGAAGGGTGGGATGTGGAGTAGAATTGAAAATATTTTGTCTGGAGTACGGTGTACCTGCCGGTAGGTAGCAGGCCTTTGTTTGGCGGGGTACCCAGCATGCCCGCAGTGCCTTGCTGGGCGTGCGGCTGCTTTGCAGGCTCACAGCGCTACAGCCTACGGGTAACCTGCTGGGAGCGCGCGGCAGATGTTTGTTGGCAGTCGGGTCGCGGCGGGGGTACCTTGTACACTAGCTACCTAGGTAAGGTACGGTATAGAGGTAAGCCGCCTGGGCCCTACCTTGGTCTCCTTCCCCAGCCGCCTATCCGCCTGCACCTGTTCATCAGCAACCTCCACTGTTTTCCAGGTCGTAGAAGGCGGTGTCCAGCTGCTTACCTGTCTAGGTTCCTTCAGACCTATCGCTTTCCTTAAGGTAGGACTTCTAGGATGGTTGATTGCTGACTTAGATTGTTTACCTTAGGTACTTCGATACTTGCTCGGACTGAAGATACTTATTACCAGAACTCTCACTAACTGAGATGGAGTTCACCAGTTGCTACTTAGAACACGCTGGCATATGGTTAAATTTTCTGACGAACCAGAGTTACATACTCAGTCTGGGTGTGAACAACAACGCTTTCTGGACTTTCACAAGCAAGTCAACATGGTTGGCGTCAATCCGAGGCTACCGAAAAGTAGACTCCAGAGGGACTGAGAGGACTGAGCTCACTCGCTGTGAAGAAGTGGCTCTGTAGCTCACTACTGTCCGCTGTAGTCCTCGAACGAGCACTCGGACAAACTGCTCAAAATCATGTTTAAGGTGTCATCTGAAAGTATGTGAAACCTAGCGACAGTTCGAGTTCCTTGAGATGAATACTACCTACCTTACCCATTCCGCTCATACCATACTATGTCTGTTTGGAAAATCTAATTCCAATGAAGTGTCTGTCCGAAGAAAACATCATGGCCGATTGCTCTCCGTTGTTTGTCTACTAGGACAGGGTGGAATGGGAGGTTGTGAATAGAGGTCTTTGTAACTGAAAGCACGCACAAGCCACTGTCGTATAAGTCAGTATCTCGCTTGATGCATATCTCCCGCCTGCGCCACACGTGGCTGAATCTCATCGACAAATTTCACCCTCCGATCAGTTCATCCATCAAACGCCCAAACACATAAAGGCAGCTTGAACAAATGTCTCCATCATGTCAATGATAGCCCTGAGATCCCAGGGCCGGCCCCTCTTCCAGCGCTCATTCGATGCATGCCGCGCGGGCTCGCAACCGAGATGGTGCTCGTCCGCAAAGAGCAGCGGCTTCCAGGCGCTGAGGAAGAAGCTCCCGCCCCTGGCTGACAAGAAGATCCACGGGCTGCCCGATAAACCGGCCAGGACGCGGTTCGCCCCCTCGCCCACGGGATATCTCCATCTGGGATCATTGAGGACCGCGCTCTTCAACTGGCTCATTGCCCGTGCCACCGGCGGTCAGTTCATAATCCGGGTTGAGGATACGGACCGGGTACGTTATGACTACTACTGAATGAGATGAAGGAACCACCCGCTAACGTCACAAAAACGAAACAGACTCGCATCGTCGATGACGCCGTTCAGCGTCTCCTAGCAGACCTGAAATGGGCAGAACTCAATTGGGATGAAGGCCCTGATATCGGGGGACCATATGGGCCTTACGAACAAGTACCTTGACTCTCCTACCTGCCCTGAACAGTGTCACACCAATCTAACACCTCAATTCAGTCAAAACGTCTAGATTACTACAAAAAGTACATCGCTGAGCTTCTAGATGCGGGCAAAGCCTACCGCTGCTTCTGCACGGCGCACGATCTCGAGCGCCACAAGCAGCAGTCCCTAGACGAGGGCGGCTCGGCGCACTACCCGGGCACCTGCCGGAGCCTCCCGCCGTCCCAGGCCGAGCGGCGCGCCGCCAACGGCGAGACGCACGTTGTGCGCTTCCGCAGCGAGGGCCGCCCTTCCTTTGTGGACAAAGTGTACGGCAACTACCAGAAGAACGAGGACGAGGACGACTTCATCCTCATCAAGAGCGACGGGTACCCGACGTACCACTTTGCCAACGTCGTCGACGATCACCTCATGGAGATTACACACGTCATCCGCGGTGCTGTGCGTCCTCCCCCTTTCTCACTCCTGAAAATCCTACCGATTCGCTCTTGGACAAACCTTCAAAACATAGAAGTGTAAGTGTAGCTCACACCAGATACTAGGAATGGCTCATCTCCACGCCGAAGCACATTGCTCTCTACGACGCCTTCAATTGGGAAGCCCCGACGTTCGCCCATGCCGGCCTGCTCTGCGCCCAGAACGGCGAGAAGCTCAGCAAGCGTAACCATGACATTGACATCTCTTCGTACCGTGACAAGGGCATTCTCCCCTCCGCGCTCAACAACTGGCTTGCGCTGCTGGGCTGGAGCATGAATGAGAAAGACCTCGCAAAGGGGGGCGAGGTATTCTACACCACAAGCGATCTGGCTGAGAAGGTAAGAGTCACTCATTCCATATCAACCCCCCTCTCATCGCATCACTTTTGTTTGGCTTTTGCAACCCTTCCTTTCGACGGATGAATCATTCTATGAACACCATCACTTACACGCTGCGAACAGTTCTCCCTGAGGTTCACAAAGGGCAACATCAAGACCAACCCAGACAAGCTCGCCGTCTTCCAGCGCAAACACCTAACCCAACGCCTCCGCGAAGAGAACCCCGACGAAGAGCTCCTAAAACAGGCCCTGCTCCCGCCGACAACCAAGCTCCTCGCACATATCTCGTCTCTCCTCCAGTCTTCTCCTCCTCCTTCCATCGAGGCCGAGACTCATCCTCCATCCGCCTCCACTTCCACCACAAACACAGTCCTCACCTCTCCGACAAACCAAAAACACTTCTTCCTAACAAAAGACTTCACAACCCTAACCCCCCTCCTCGCCTCCCCCACAACATCCCCATCCCACCTCCTCGACATCTACCGCACCCTAGCCCTCGACTCCCCAATAGACCCAGTCGACCTAGTCCACGAACACCCCTCCCTCTTCCTCCGCCCCTCGCCCCAATCCTACGCCCGCTCCCTCGAGAAC